AACTTTTGCCTCCGAATAAAAATTAGGAGCAAACCTCCTAGAAGGGGCAAGGCCCTGGAGTGCCTTCGAATGAAAATCAGGAACAAGCCTCCTGAAAAAGGCATGACCTCGAGGGTGGAATCTTGAGGGTCACCTCAAACCTAAAAGAACAATGAAGCGGATGAGTGATCACCCTGATCTCGTGTGAACCACCTCGAGGCGACCCCTGAAAATGATGAAATTGAACCAATCGGGGGGATCAACTAACTCCTCCCTCGACGTTGGAATTGTGGAAAACATCCAATTATCCCTACTTGTTGCTATGGCATCAAAGTGTTTCAAAAAAAAAAAAGTAATAATACACAAAGTAACAAAAGGGGATTCTTCTATTACCAAGAGACACGAGGCTTTGCATCCTCGAGAGCTACAAAAGCAGGAAAAATATGACTAATATATATATATATATATATAATACAAGTTCAAAAACAAAAATCCAAAAGCTGGAGAACGGATCATCTCGCCCCCGGAATCTTTACTACGTCTCTGCAGGGGGAGTCAACGTTGAAGGGATTAGCAACTTCTAGAACGGACGGAGCAGGGACCAAAACAGTAGCAAGCTGGATTGGAGGAGTGATTAATTCAGGGGCGAAGGGGCCTAACTCTGACAGGGCATCATCAGATGGAACCAGGATGACCACTTCAGAGGGCTCTACTGAGTCTTGCACCAAGACTAGGGCCACGTCCTCAACAGCAACCTCGGCCCCAGCCTGCATCATCTTCACCGAGGGCACGTAGATGTGCATCTAGAAGAGGGGAGAATCTGAAGGAATCTCGACTGCTCGGAGCGCCTCATCCCAGCCTTTTTTAAAGAACTCCTTGTTGTTCTCCTCAAGGGCAGGCAGCATGTCATTGGAAAATTCCTCTCGCATCTACTCCTTCGACCTCCTATTATTCTTCATTTCAGCCCTAACCCTGTCGAGCTCCTGAGTAAGGGCCAGGCAGTTCTCCTCTGATCCGACGGCTCTTGCTTCAGCCGAGGATAGCCGCTATGTCTGCTCCGTAATTCTCCTCTCAGCATCGGCCAGGGCAGCACTTAGCTTTTCAGCGCCGACCCTTGCCGATTCGCCGTCCTTGAGTAGTTGTTCAATCTGGGCAACCTGGGCCACCAGGGTGATGTCCCTGACAGCCACGTCCTACTTAGTGGCAGCAAGAGCCCCTTTAACCTTTTCCTTTTCCTTTTCCTCCTCGGCTTGCTGAAGGTTCTATCTGGCTCCGTGATAGCGAGCAGCAATCACCGAGATCTGTTGGGTGGCCTACAAGGAAAAGAACTTGGTTAAATCACAGTTGATAGAATGAGGGAGGACCAAACAGAAATGAAACTCACCACCAATGAGTTGTGAATGATTGAGCGGAACAACGAGTTTGTTGTCCGCTCTCGGTGAGCATCCATATCAGCCCCAAAATGAAGTGCCACGCTCACTCCGTAAGCGACATGGGGGTCCTGTAGAATGGAATCATCGACTCGGATCACCCTGCTCATGTGATCAAGGGTCCGAGGATTCCATTCTACTATAGCCTCCGCTGGTGGCGGGGGAGGTGGAGTCTGCTACTGTTGTTGTTGTTGTTGTTGCTGTTGTTGGGGGTGGGGGGCCCTCCCTCGGCCCCTGTCGCCTTGTTGCTGAGGGGAGGGGGCCCTAGTGCTTCTGCCAAGGCCGTCGTGCCTTTTTTTTGTTCTTCTCTCCTCCTCAACAAGGAGATCCCAATCACGCACCTGACCCCGACCGGCGGGCCTTGGTGCTAGAGGGGGAATGTTGGTGCTGGCTCCTAAAGGTGGGGGCACGTTGCTTGTCGACCCCCTACCTCTCCCTACAACGAGAAACTGTCTCCGTCTCAGGAAGTTCAGATCGAACTGAGGTTGGCGCAACATGGCTACCTCCAGGGCATACTTAACGTCCAAGGATTAGAGGATGTTGAAGTCGGGCCACGCCTCTCTACCTGAAGTACCCACCTCAGCATCTGAAGGTACAAAAGCCTCTCTGGCCCCGGGTTCCTCAACTTCAGTGTCTTCAACGATACCCTCTACGTCTGCCTCAGTGGCCCTGTCAAGATCTTCCTCTAAGTTCTGCTCGACCTCCTGCTGCTCTGTCTGATCAAAGAGCTTGGACCACCTTGAAGGGTCGAAAGGTTGGGGGAGCTGAGAGAACTTCTTGTATCCTGGTGTGTAACCCAGGAGGAGGTGACCAGCTCGGCCAAACCAGTCATCGCCGACATGTTCCCAAACAGTGATTAAATCGGCAAAATTCACTAAATACCGAGGAGGAGGGGCGACTTTGCGAGTAGAGACGTCTGCACAAAAAAAAGGGGAAGTTGTTAAGACTTAGCGGGATATTCATGGACAATGAAAACCAGAAAGACACGAAGAAGCCAACGTACTTGTCATTCTCCATTGTAGAGGACACCTCAGACCAGCGTACTCGGGACCGGTTCCCCTCTCCCAGGCCCCACTGAAAACCAGAAGGTCGTCCTTGTACCCTTTGTCTGAGTCGGGGAGATGAGCACTAAGTACATGGAAGAATCCCTGGCTTTGAGATAAAAGTTTTGCTAAGGCATTACCCTCAACAAGGAATAACAGAAAAGGAGGTCATCAAGACCGAGGTTTACCCTAAGGTGATTATTGAGTTCTAGGACCCCCATTATTATCCTAAAGAGATTTAGGCAACATTGCCTAGGGAAGAGATTGAAGCGAGAAAGAAACTGGAGGAGTAAGGGAGGCAGGGAAAACCTAATCCCTCCCTCTATGATAGCCTTAGTATAAAAAGGCATCTCATCCTCGGTCCCGAGGTTACGGTGGTACAAAATAGGGTCAAAGTCGTCTATACCTACACTTCTGGGTATGTGATATCGGGCTCTAAAGTTATTAATCTGCTGGTCCCCCTTTACCTTGTATTCCCTTGGCCTTAAGGAACTAGTCTATTGGGCCTCGGTGTCAGGGCGACGTCTAGGATCTCTACCGAAGAAATAGAGGGTTCTCTCCTAAAAGCGATCCAAAGAGGTTTCCCAAATGACTAAGAATCGATGAGGGCCAGGAAGACCTTCGGTCATCGAAAAAAGAAAAGCAAACTAGAGGAAAAATGGAGAAAAGAAGAGGAAGGCAAGGACTCACTGGAGGACAAGAAAGGAGTTCTGAAAGCTTGAAGGACTCGTTCCTTCCTCGAGAAGTTTGAAGACAAAAGGAAATCACTTGTTTTGCTCCGGTGATGGCTGGTAGGGTGATGTTGTAGCAAAGTCCTCTGACGGGTTCTCCGGCAGAAGCTCTCTTGAGATTTTGAAGAAGCAAAAGTGGAAGAGGGGGAGAAGGGGTCCGTTAATATAGTACCCGTCCCCATCATTGCGCACGAAGTACTAAAAGGCGCATTTAATGCGCACGATCTCCAAACGATGAAAAGCAAATAGAAACAATGATGTGGTGGTTGGGGCAGTTGCAAATCCATTCACCTTCTGACGACACGTGTCCCCTGTGTCAGAAGATCAAAGGGCTGAGGGCAGTTGATGGGACATTTTCAAAACACAACAAATGGCGACACGTGTCATCGGTATCCTTAGCCCTCCCGCCGAGGGAAATAATTCTCCGGCATGGATGACACATATCCCTCGGCTCAGATTGATGATATCGGTCCCGATGTGTGTATGCTCCCTCGACGCCGAGGTGTCTCTATTGGAATGTGGATTTTTTCACTCCTACAAGGACTGGTGATTAACAGGTGACTAGCATAGGCCAGGTTAGGCTAGGCTAGCCATCATAACAGTGCTTTACTCAATGGTGTCAGGAGGTACAAGAACGCAAAAGATTCAACCAAGGAGGAATGGACACATGGCATGCAGTGTCAGATCAAAGACAAAAGGACCAGAATGCCCCTGCTGACACATGACTTGAGCAAACAGACATTTAATGTATCCCCTTCTTGATGAGACAACATTTAAGGCATGGGGATCGAGAAGTGAAAGGCATTAAATGCTCCCATGCCTGGGCATTTAATACTCCATTGCTGAGGGAAGGGCATTAAATACTCGACAGGCTGAGGGAAAAGCATCTATTGCTCGGTGTCCCGAGCAGTTAAGGCTGAATGCATTTCCCACTAAAGGAAATTGGGCACACTGCCCCATCTCTAATGATTGTTTACTAGCTATATTATCAGCAATGATGAACTTTTGAAGGTATAAATAGTCCTCAAAAACATATTGCAAAGTTACGCAAGAACTTCTGAAAAGAACCATAGTGCTTTTTTCTTCCCCTCTCTCAAAGAACTGACTTGATCGTCGAAGGGGATATGCCGGAGAGCACTCCGGCACCATTCTAACCTGTTTTTCTGTGTTACAAGATCCCCCTACAATCTTCCAGGATCGGTCAGGCGACCCAACAAACAATTCATCACCAGTCCTTAGGACCCCTTTGTCCTCTTAACTTACTTTTTGTTGCTAAAACCAACTTTCGGATGGATCGAAACTCTACCAGAGGCGATCAGAGATTTTGAAAGCAAACCTTTCGTTCCGCCAGAATTACTGTCTTGTCAAACCACAGTTCATCGTGGGAGAGATCTGTTCCTACTTCTACTGTTATGCAAAAATCAGCGCGCACATTAGCTATAAGGTATTTATATATGCTTGTGCCAACTACTCATTTGAACTTAATGGTCGACTACCTTGGCTTAAACTAGATTATAACATGTTCTCAAAAAGGACAAAGATAGCCAACCTTTGGAAAAGGTGAGAAGAAATTTAACCTGAAATCTTTAAATTACCAAAAACCATCCTCAGAACCACCCTTAGGAGTTTATGATCATCAATTTGATGGCCAATGAAACAGACAAAAATAACAAAGGAAGGCCCACAAATCGGACAGATCTGGAATGAAGGCCTTGGGTCTTCCTTTTATCTTTTTTTTCTTTTCCCCCTTTATCGTCTCCTACTTGTGTAAAGCAAAGTGTGAGGAACAAACTTGCCAAAAAGAAGAGTGTGAGGATCAAGCAGACACCATTCTTGATGTATTTTCTCCTGTGATAGAACACTATCATATGCTTACACCTTTATTATTAGCAGCACTCATTGACAAAGTAAATGTCATGGTTACACCAAACTTATGTATGAGAGACAATTTAAGGAAAACAAACCTTAATTACCTCCCCATCCAACAAGAAATACCCCAACTCTATTAAGAGAACTATTTAGTGAATATTTACAGATTGAAGTACTTTGAAACGTCTCAATCGATTGAGTACTTACCTCACTAATTTGACTAAAATTTGTGAGTCTATTTATACCAAGAAGCTAGCCTATTACCCCGAAGATTTGCCACCAAACTTGCCTCGTTTCTCAAATATCCATCTTCAAAATGATGTTATTAACATTGTTGTCATGTGATTTCTCCACAGATGCAACTTTGGCTCGATAAGTTGCTGCTGCTGCTGCAGCTACCACAGCAGACTTTACACTCTCTCCTTGAGGGAGCTCAGATGCTTCGCTGATGGAACCGAATCTTAGTTCAGCAGGAGGAATGAAACAGTCTACTGATAGGCCAGGAACATTGAATGCCACTTCCTCAATTGTCCATGCTTCTTCCATTCTGGTCTTCGTGTGACTCATAGCTGTTTCTCCAAACCTGAAGAGTGTTACTACTGATCGACCAGAGTGAGCGATCATGATCCCCTCAACGGGTCTGTAATCATCGAGGAATGAATTGATTGTGGTCTCCCAATAAACAGCATCACCACCATTGCTTTGGATGCGGGTTAAATGGGAGTCTTCCAAGTGTAAAAGAAGCCCTGTTTTCTGGCTGAAATATCCAAACAAAACGTGCCTTATGATCTCTGCCGGCCCTTCACTCCTGGATTTCAATGTGTGTGGATCAGCACAAAGCTTGAGAATAAAGCAATCCTCTCCGTTGATCTTCTTTTCTCCAGTGCATTTTGCATTAGTAAACATGCTTGCAGTGGTCCTTGGGTCAAGACCCTGAGAGGATAACTGATGTTAGAGACTGAGCAAAACAAACACGACAAACAAATACAATATTGAGCACAGGTAGCTTCACCTGAAGTGCACGACGTAAGGGTCTGACTGGCCCTTTCGCAGCATGTGCACCAAGCCATGGTGTGTGCCTCCACACAAGCTTCCCATTGCAACCGGCATGTACTTTGCTGCCACCAAGCGCAAGCTCCACATACCACATGTCTGGATTCATCTGCCAGAGCACAAAGCCACCTGATTCCGCTGCTTTGGAAGAATTCCTGCTCTTTATGACCTTTGTAGCCGTCTCAATGTCACAAGCTAACATTTTGACCTTTCCCATAGCATAAGCATTGTGAACTGAGTTTTGTAGTTTTTGTCCGCCCGAAGCCGCCGTGTACTGCTGCAATATGTACTGAGCAGATGAAGTTTCCTGCAAAGAAAACCACCAATCACGCTTTTTTAACAATCTTTTTATGATTATGCTGGGCGATGATAGCAGGATTTCGTAATTGGTCTGTTCCGATTCTGATATGTGCACCTGACATGACATTTCCATGATTAAATAATATTTCATTCCTATTGTTGCCACCAAGTCTCTTGCTCCGATAAAGTCCAGCCTTAGTAGACGTGAGTAGCTAGTTCGTTCATCATTTCAGCTTCAGTTAAATCATACCTATAGTAATTTTTTGGAGAAAAACCCACCATAAAGAACAGCTTGTGCATAATTTCTTTTTCTTTTTCTCTTTTTTTTCTTCTTTCAACTATATAAGAAGACATTGAATGTCCACCTACTTCAAGCGTTCAGCAGTCTCCATCCCGATAGCAAATGTGGACTACACTACCGTATTAAGAAACCAAACAACATTGACATCTCATCCACCTGCTCTCTACGAAAGAAAGAAGAAAAATGAGAAAATTCCTATGCACATACATAAATTGCAACCCAAGGGACAAGGATGGACTGTAAATTCAGACGTTTTGAGTTCGAATCTTAATAAACTATTGGATCAGATCATGAGGAATTTATCCTTATGAATATCCTAGACCCGACGTGGATGACCTGCTTTTGTCTGGACCGGGAAGTAGATTAGTCAAGGGAAGAAGATGCGCGTAAACTGACCCAAATATCACTAGCCATTGAGCAAAAAAAAAACATAAATTGCACACCAATTTCTCCCTCGGGGTCTAATAATTCACAACTACATTTGCGTAAACATGCAGATATGTAGATAAACTCAATTGCACAAATAATGCTAGAAATGCAAGACAACAAAAGAGAGATACCCACAAAAGATTCTTATATTCGTCGAAAGTGTTAATTTACACAAACTCGAAAACAAATTAGCAAATAAATAAAAGACTGAGATAATCTAATTAAAACATTTCACTAGCTAACAGACATAAACCCTTTGTCTGTAGGTGACCATAAAACCTTAAAGTTGATTGACATAATCCAAACAATTTTAATAAATAAGATTCAATCTACGTGGGGTGTTCACTCTACCCTATGGATAGAAAATATAGTCTTTCATCTTCTTATCCGATACTTTAGGAAAGAAAATTTTTTTTGGCCTACCCTATCCGATCAAGTGTAATATTCCTATCCAAATTCCGTAAAAATTAATCGGATAAAAAATCAGGTAAGAAATCGAGAAAACATGACGTATAGTTATTAATTTTTGAATTATTTAACACTAAAATAATTACAATAAAAATTTAGAAATCATATTCTTTAGATTCTTAAAAAATTATCTACAAAATCTTAGAAATCATATACTATAAAATCTCACAAAAAAAAAAATCACATACTATGGACTTAAGGTGAGATAAGGAGGCGAGGACTTATATGTGTGTGGGAGTAGGATAGGAATACAAAAATTTGATGGGTATTTCACATTTCTACCTAATTTAATTGGACAATCAAAAATTATTTTGTATTCCTATCAGATTTTTTCAATTAACCGATCAATAGCATCGTATAGGTTCGAATAGATAGAAAATTGCAGGTAGTCCATCCAGAGAAGTACCAGAATCATTCAATCTTCACTGGTTAATATCAACACATAATGGAAAGTACAAGTAAAACGTAGGTATACACTGAAAAATTGCACAAGGAAAAATCCAATATACAACTGAAAATTGAAAAATAAAAAATGGGTTATGAGAGAGAGAGTGAGAGAACTAACAATGGGAGTGTCTTTGATACAGAGGTGAGGAAGAGGGTCATTGTTGCTAACGTGCACCGGAGACAACGGAGCACCCAGAACACCAAGCAGCAACCTCAGATCGGACCTTTGGTAGACCGACCCGGAAGTCGAAACAGACGGTGCCCGACAAAGCTGGCCCTTCATCCAGTGACCCAACCTGTCCATTTTCGAATCACCACCGTCCGTTCCGTCCGGATCCGGACCTTCCATCAACGGCGACAAAGTCTCCATCCCAGGCCTCACACTCCCGGACCTCAAAACCAACGGCTCGGGTTGCGTCACATGTCCACCTTTCCTCCGAAGCCAACCAGACACTGGTGATTGACTCCTCCCCCTAGACCTTCCCGGGGACAAACCCCTCACCGCTCTTTCTTCAATGTCGCAAAAAACCCCTGCTTTCTCTCCATATTACAATACTAACACCACTACCAATCAAACCCACAAAAGATTCAACTCTTCAAACTGTAAGGAAGCAAAACAGAGGACACACACTGGCCACTGGGTTAGTGCTCACTGAGAAAAGACACCCAGAGAGCAGAGCGATGGAATGCCGTTTGGAAGAAGCAAAACAGGCATATTCATGGATTCCGATACAATATACTTGAATATATGTGACTTTAGTATGAATAATGATTCGGGACCAACATACTCGTATTATATTTGATAAAGAGGGGCAAGGATAGATACAAAGAAACAGTGACTGGGCGCTGTAGATTTGTACTACAATAGTACCAGTTGGTGGCTATGTTGTTGCGCGTTCTTTGCTTTGTCGTTTGGGTTTGTATTTGTCTTTGTGGTTGGACAACGATTGGTAGGTTGGAGGGGGGTAATAAGGCTAGAACCGTAGGACTAGTTGCTGATGAGTCCTTCTCCTGACCAGAAATGATTAAGAAACGGCTACGTAGGGTCCACTAGGTAATTGAATATAATTTATCGATATAATTTATTAATTTAATTATTTATAATTATTAAATTAATATAGACTTCAGTATTTGATAAAATTTGTAACTAATTTAATTTAATGACTATAATAAAATAATTCAGTAAATTCAATAATTGAAAAAGGAATTATTTGCACTTTATAAAATTCCTAAATTTTTAATTTGTACATAGAAAAACAAAAACTTCTTCTATTATTCTCAGCTAAATAAAAATATAGTAATACGTGTGTTTTAATAAAATTGGATAAAATTTTTCTATATCAAATATTTAAAATTAAGAAATACATTAAAAATTATATATATAAATAAAAAATATAAATACAGCAGAAAAAAAATAGTAAAACAAAGTAACAGACATATTATTCAATTGAAAATGTAATATATAAAATTTGATCTTTTAAAATGAAAATTAAAATGTTAGAAAATTATTGAGGTACAATGTATTATTCACCCTTTTAGTAAACGTATAAATGCCCAAAATACCTGCCATAAAAACTGTGGGTACATGGAATCTATACTATAAGCTGTGTTTTTTTATTTATGGCAAGATATTTATTTTGTTTTCCATTACTGTTCATGTTGAGCCTACATCGAAGAATAACCGTCCTGTGAAATGCTGGATAAATGAAAAGGGTATATTGTGCAAATACCCGTAAACGTTGTGCTAAAAATGCAAATTTTATCAGCTTTTAATTAACAAATTGCAACCAGATCTTATTGACTAAGGATCAAGTAACTAAGTTGAAAAATATTGAGAATGATTTTTTAGAGGACTAAAATGATTATTACCCGGCTCAATAGAAGTAAAACTCAATTAATTTTAAACACAATATGTAAATATATATATATTTTTACAAAAGCATCCTTGACTTGAAAATAAAATATTTTACTTGTATTTTTTTTTTGTTCAATAGTCTGCGTTGATTGTGGACTATGGGTTGGTCCATGGGTCATGGGGCATGGGTCAACGCGCATGTCATGGGTGGTGTATAAGTGTGTGTGTTTTTGATGTGTTAGTGTATTAGTATATATGTGTAAATACTCAATTCAATTGGTACCTATTTATAATCAATATTAATTTGATTAATTAAAACGAATTATATTATTCAAACCATTTGGAACCTGTATTAATTAATATAAATATGAGAAGATTAATGAATAATGAGTTAAGATTGCCACCTTTAGTCAGGAGTGTTTGAGCTAGCTTATGCACACCTCAACTAATCTCCTCTCTGGTCCGGTCAAAAATAGGTCATCCACGCTAGAATTAAAGTATTTATGAGGAATAAATTTATTGTGGTCTGACCTCAAAGACTTCCCAAGATTTAAACTTATGACGTTTGAGTTTATAATTTGTCTATGTTACCACTTGAATTACATTCGGTGCTATTTTACTTGTGATTTTGAGATTGCGGAATTGAAGTCAATCATATATGTGCATTTTAGAATTATTTAATTTGATTTTGACTTCAACTTTGACTTTATAAGACAAATATAATTTGAGCTAGTCGAACTTAAGCCCGACAATTGAACTTGAGTATACCAAAATTAAAAAAGAATAAGACTCAATGGATGAGATACAACATAAACATATGCCACTAGCTCCTTCAATTAGTGGCTCTCAGTCACGCATGGAAATCATTATTAATCATGAAGCCTAAAATGCTTAATGCTCTAGTCCAGGTTGTTGAGCATGCATGCATGCTAATTAAAACTAATAACGTTTTTGTTTTGTTATACGACACTTGAAACGCTTTGATAGCATAAAAACAACAGCAATGTTATAGAGATCTAATTTAGGGATTTAATTTGAAGATTAATGATGTAGATTCAATGTAATTATTAAATTATTTGTGAGTTTCAATACCCATTATCAATCCAATGACTATATTGGATTAGATTATCAAATTAGGTCCGCATAACATTTTCCTAAAAACAAAATTTATTTTGGCTGTTGATACAATTAGATTCGTTTGGAATTGAGATTTGAAAAGTGAAATAAAAAAGTCAAAATTAAAAAATTTCTTTAGAACCATTTGGAGTATTTCCGAAAAAATCAATTTTTCATGAAAGTCCTCGGATAAACTCAATTTTTATGTTTTTCTTTGGTACTAATAAAAGTTGTTTTTGCCCAATAACCTGATGGAAAAAGTTGTCTAATAAGCTGAGGTCTAAACGGACCAATTGTTTTTGAGCAAGTTATAAAGACCTTATTTGGGGATTTTATTTAGGAACTTAATGATTTAATTTCAATGTAACAATTGAATTAATTGTGAGTTTCAATGTTAGATGGAATCCACAATCAGTTTAATAATTATATATCATTAGGTCCCTAAATGCTAAATAAGGTCCAAATAGCATTTCTCAGTTTTTTTTTTGCTCCGATTTCTCCAAAAGTTTAAGTTTTCAGTCACCTCCAAAAATGCTCAAATTAAGTATGATTTGTATCACAGGTGTAGTCCACTCAGTTTTTCCCTTTATAATTTTCATCTTCAAAGTTGTTAAATACATAATTTCCAGGAAAATATATAAACTTTCTTTTTTTTTTTTTCATTTTTGAGGTTAGGCGGTAGATATGTGTGACGAGTGTTTAATGTTTCCCCATCAGACATTGTTACTTATCTCCACAAATATAATAGAGATAAAATTCATATTTAGGTTTTTAGTACAACAAAAATATAATCTCTCGATAATTTGTTTAATCTACAATCTACCCATTGCGAACAGAGTAAACAAACATACATACACACAGCCTACTCTGTTTTATATTATAGATAGACAACTCAAGTGATAATATAAACGAATTGAAAATTCAAACATCCAAAATTCAAATTTTGGTAATCTCTTGAAACCGGATCATGAATACTTTTAGTTTCGGCATGACTTACCTTGACTGGATAAAAAAAAAATTAATTAAAATGGGCATAAATTAACCTGATCACCCTTAACCGTAAACAAAAAAAAAAAGTGTTCTGATTTTTCCGTCATCTACCTTTATCCATTAGATAAACTAACTGGAAATATTTTCTTTTGGCTTATTGATGCAGTGATACTTTTTAGTAATATTATTTAGATTTAATTTATTAATTTAATTACATTATTTTATTGTAGTTATTAACATATCATTAATTTTTAATATTTAATAAAATTTATAATTAATTTAATAATTATAATAAATTAAGTCAACAAATTAAATCTCAATAGCTAGGTCGTTATTTTAACTCCATTCAATGGGTGGCCCCTTTTTTAATTTATATTTTAATTAATAAATCGTTATCCAAGGCCAAAAAACAAAAAGAAAAAAAGAAAGGGAAATACCACAGACACACTATGGCATGGACAGTCCTAGGAGTAATCAGCGGGGAAGTAGTGGAATTCCCGCCAAATTAGTGTTGAATGCTAAGAGCTTTGACAAAAGTCAAAGTCCATATATTCTTTCAACGGAATCAGCTGACGTGTACAATGCCAAATAGAGAAAAAAAAAAAATCTTATCTAATAATCCAAACGCACCCTATCTTTTCCCGACTCTGCCAACTTATTTATTCGATGAAAATAATATATTTCTCATTTTTCTATTATTTATATAAAGCCACAGGTACGAAGACAAAGATGCAGTTTTTGCTGAGGTTGTCAGACCGCTTCAATCTCCATGCCATCCTAGTCCTACTTATAGGGTAAAATTGTGATATTAAAAACTATATTTTTTTGGATATCATCATGGTATTTAAAAAATATTATTTTAGTTTTGTATTTGATAATAAAAAAATAAACACGTGTTCTGGGCTCCGCAACTACTTTGACAATTTCAACCAGTTAAAATCTCTACTTTACCAACCAGATTGGTAAAATCTCCACTTTACCAACCAGATTGGTTTATATGCATAGAGTGTAATTGACTTAATTCAAATAAAAGGATAAAGAGATTCCAACGACACTAGGAATGTGACCTATAAAAGAGGGAGGAAGAAGCTCAATCAAGATACGAGAACATAACTTCATTTCAAAATTTTCATTTTCAACCCCTCGTATTACTTAAACATCAAAAGATTAACCTTCAGAACCCATCTGGTCTTCAACTTGCTCTTGCACTACTCTCGCCCGATAGTTGACAAGGGGATCACATTCAAGGGACTTAAAAAACAATTGGTGATCTTGGATTAGAATGAGATTATATGAAAATCTTAACTTTTTTTTTTTACCGCAAGTTGATTCCATTTAGTCATAACTTTATCAAAAATAAGTTGTATTATTGTTGAGACTGCTTATTCTAATACAAAATAACTTGACTTAAAAAAACCATAATTTTTAAAATTGGATATCCTTCGATATTATATTCTTCAAAAAATGTTTTTAGAACCCCCCCCTTCCGATCCAAAAGAAAAGGACACTGACTGTTGATATGACCTTCCCATCTTTTTCATTAAGATTTTGTTTGATTATGATGCTGAGAATTTGAGCTTTCAATGAAAAAAAAAACAGTTAAGAAAGGAGGAGTAAATCATTGGCTATGACATAGCAATTAGGTAGATAAGTTGTTGCTGAGACTTCAGTGATTGCCTTTGTATAAAGGTCAAAGAAGGACAACAATTGGGTTAGGTTGGTGTTGGTGTGGACTTTCAGGCGCAAATGGCGGTGGAGAATGGCTGTCTGCCTTGACCTGACAAGTGATTAACAGTTGAAGATTGTGCGTTCATAATAATAGCTTACACCAACCTATTCATTGTTCAACCCATAATAATTTCGAGTTATGAATTTAAATATTTAAATATTTAAATTTTAAATTTTAATAATTCTTTG